GATAAAACTTTGAAGCATATTCATAATCTAAACTTGATAAATTGTGTATTGTGGACTGTTTTTTGCAATCGAATTATGCTGTAGTTTTCCTGAATTAATTAGTGCTAACTCGCACTTATATCCAGAATCAAACATGAACTACACGGACCGTGTAGTAGTAGTAATATTGTATTGTTAGGAGGATAATTGATATTCAGACATCCAGCCTACATATTTACATTGTACGTAACAGTAATGTCAAACAAAGAATGGACAAACAAGCTCAGTAACTGTATATATATAAATAAATGTACATTTAGTCATAGTCTCACATGCATGGGAATAATCAATAGAATTAGAATACAGATGATACGCGCACATGAATAAACATACAGTATGTTATTTTCAAATGTATGGGAATAAACAATAGACTTGGTATACTGCTTATTTAATGCATCACATGTTATTGTATATAGAACTAGAAGGACTATATATATATATATATATATATATGAAACGTGATTTTTCGTTTTACGAATGAATTAGATATGTGTAACTCTATGATTATTTACAAATCAGCATATGTTATGTATTCTGGAGAAGATTTGTAGCTCAGGTGTTGTAGTTTTCTCTGACTCCGGAAGTATAGTTGTGAAGCTTCCATTATATCAGCGCATACTTCAAATAATCACTACCAGTACAAGTAGACTGAAAGGTGGGAAAATCTCCAGAAACCAATCAGTCATATTCAACGTTACCAGGATAGATAGATAGATAGGTGGCTAATAAACTCTTGGAGAATTCTGAAGTCTCTCTTCTTCAAGTTGAAGTATGAGCTGAAGATGTTGTCTAAATAGACTATAAAAGCTTCTCAACTGATAAATTGTGTCTTTATGAGTTAAATAACTTAACTCGTATTGTTGTTGTTGTTGTTGCAAACTCGTGTATACAACACTCTTCAGTAAAACTGTTTTTATAGATTTTTCGTTCATCATATTCCTGGTGAAACAGTATCGCATTATGTATTTTTACACACTCAGAGATAAAATAACTTTTAATTTTTACAGATTCAAATTTAAATCCATGTCATTCATATATATGTATGTGTACAATAAAATCAAAACAAAACCAAAAACGTAAGAAAGTGTGTTGTGTTGTTTTTGTTTCCTTTTGTGTTTTCTCACTGTTTTATATGCTCACCTGTGTGTGTGTAGGTGTGTGTGTGTGTGTGCCAATTTGGTGTTACAACACATTTATACATACATAAAAGATAAAGTGTTGGTTTGCAAGGATTTGGTCGATTACAGGGCTGATCACGAGCTGTTATTATTATTTAGAGAAACACTGGGAAGCTGTTTCGCTTTAGTTTGAAACTTATTCGTACCACACACCCACCGGAGTTCGAACCCAGGACCTTCCGGTTACGAAGAGAGCTCGTAGACAGACCATCTAGCCACTGGGACTCAATACAGTGGCCTATAAATTCCAAATTCTACCAATTCACGATGCATAGCGCAGCCACTAGTCATTGTCATAAACGAGTAACCGTTCTCTTATCTGACTCGGTGGTTCTGGAGTTCTAATGAGAAGTCGCAATCAGAGGAGTCTATCACATCAGATAAGAGAACACAGTTACTCGTCTATGACAGTAACTGGTGGCTGCGCTAAACATCGTGAATTGGCAGAAGTTGGAATTTACAGGCCACTGTACCGAGTCCTACGAGATCACCTTATAAGTGGAAGGTCCTGGGGGTTCAAACTCCAGTGGGTGCGCACCGATGAAGAGTTCAAAACTAGGACGAAATAGCTGTCCAGTACTGCCTGGTTTTCCAGTAGTCCTCTTAATAATGCCAGCTGGTGATCAAACGAAAAGGATTAGTTAACCGATGTAGGTAGTAAAAACAGAAAGATGGATTTTTTACCTCTCTGATTAGCCCATTGCAATAGCTTTCTACCGGTCGTATTATGACGTGTATATCTATACCCTTGTGTTATTTTCACGCACCAAATTTTTCTTAACTATTAATATTTTACATACTTTACAAAAGCTATAATCCCAAAAAATATTTACATTTCCTAGGACTGGCTAGTCTAGTCGCTTACTTGTGGTGTCCTGTAAATTAATCGACGCGGACATTACAAATCTTTTAGTGCAGAAATAATATACGTGATAAACATTAGGTGTTATCATAGAATGTAAGCTGAGTTGTTTAGATATAGTTAAATAGTGTGTCGTCTACAAAATGCACGGAATTAATAATTTCATACTGCCTGAAGTAATCACGTGTAAAAAGCTCTCAGTTGTCAATCTCATTCACAAGATATTTCCAAGCCGTGTAGTGCCAAGTCACTTGTCATCTGTCTTGTGTACACGTCATAAAAGATGTAATACTAGGGTAGTGTAACACCAGGTTAAGGCATGATTATCTAATAGCTACTTTAAGTCGTCAGCATACTGTGTCATTCAATCTAACTCATTTTATAACAAATTTTTAACTTTTTTAAGGATAGGCGATTTGTTGTCTTAATAAATATGAGTATTCTAAAATAATAAATTTTCTGAGTGTATTTTTCAAACCAATTAAAACGGGATATCATTGTCTGGTGTTATACAGCATCATCGTCTTTTCTGGCAAATGATTGTATACTGGAAATCATTTTGCAGTCTATTTCTAGAAGGTATATCAGCTAGCTTCACAGTGTTTGATAGAAGAAGCGATTGGGTTTTATGACTGGCTATAAGTTGTAAATTGCATCAATCTATTCTAAAGAAAACGGGTGTTATTATTATTATTATTCCCTGGGGTTCTGAGTGGAACATAAGGCCTCAACAGCACATCTCCATTTCACCCTGTTCTCTACAGTCCTCTTTAGCTGGCCTCACGACTATTCATAAAGTTTCACCTCTTCTCACGACTTCCTCTTTGTCACCCTTGGACTCCTAACTCGTCGTTTTCCATTCGGCTTCAACTTGAGGGCTTGACAATTGATATTATTCAATGGTCTCCTCAGTGTGTGTCCTATCCATCTCCATTTCGGTGGCACAGTGGTTAGGACTCTCGCCGACCATGCACATGGTCCGGGGTTCGAGCCCACACCGGCGCACACCTGATATCTATGGTCGGCCTGCAAAATTTGGGCTACCGATATCCATGCTGAAAATTCCATACTTGTACCAAAAATACCGTGTGGAATCAAGCTGTAAATAAAAAAAAATAAATAAAATAAAAAATATATTCGTTGAACAATGCGTTCTTGATTAGTTCGTTTCAAGAGTTTGCTGTTGATAATCCTTCCTGGCCATCTGATCTTCAGTATGGAGCGAAGACAGCTGTCGATAAAAGTCTTCAGCAGCCTGTTCGAAATGCTTTTTGTGACATACCAAGTTTCTAACTCATATAGAAGAACTGACCTAACAGTGGTGTTCAAAATTTGAAGTTTGTTCTTTATTCTGAGTGCAGAAGATTCCCAAACTGATTTCAGAGCGATGAAGGTCTGTCGTGCCTTTCCCAATCTGGCTTTGACATCCTCATCCACTTCGCCTGTAGCTGAAACGATACTGTCTAGATAAGCAAAAGAAATGGCCTATTTGAAATCTATTCAGTTGATCGTGACTGGTGCTTGTTATAATTGTTTAGTTAATTTCATCACCTCCGTTTTCTGTATTATTCACCAGAAGTCCTGTTCTTGTTACTTCTTCTGTTGGTTCAACGTATTCCAGTCTTCTCGCTCCCCATAGTCTTCTGTGCAATTGGGGAAAAATTCTATCGAATAATAACGAATATAGAGACGGTACTGTAGCTCATTTGGATGATTTTCATTTGGTTGTGTTCTCTGAGCTGATTGGTTTAATTGTAAAGCTTTTCTTGTCTTTCTGGATAACATCTTCAGCTGAATACCAATGCAAGCTGACGACTAATCGCAAAAAAGTAGTCAGAAGAGACAAGGATATCATTCTTGGCGAATCTAAATAAGTTCATTTCGTTGCATGAACCTATATACCAGTGTTAGATTGAGATAAGCATCTGGATACCGCTAACCAGTAGAGCTTGCCAGTCAGGTCGAAGTGATCTCAACACCAGGCAGCTGTCTCACTCACTCGGTTTAACTCAGCTCAGAGATTCAAATCAGTTAAGACCACCCGATCTCACTTCATCTTGAAGTTGGCTCTAAAGATGTCGTCTAGAAGGATAATGAAAGTTTCGTATTTAAACTACCCAACTCAGAAAACACAACCATATCAAAAAGAGTAATAGTGATTTCGTGTAACTGTACTAACAATTATAATTGCTGTCGTAATATCAAAATACCTGTTAGCCATAGATAACCCTAGGACTTACTTTGTTGGCATATATAATGATAATCTTTTTAAGTATTACCATCGCTTAAGGTGATCACTCTCCAATTTGACTGGGACAGCTAAATGACATTAACATGTATATTGACATTAAATGCGATCAATTTGTGTAATTCTACCTTATTAGGTCACTTCACTTAGGTAATTGATCAGGGTTGACGTTTTTTTTTCTTCACAACAATCGATTAAGATAGTAACATTTAGAACTTGGTGAATTTCACCACTCCTTTCCAATTTCTGAAATTAAGGATAATATCTTTATGCTGTACCAGTCCCCTACCCAATCAATACACATCAGTCGACTTATATGCACATTGCACTTTCACATTTTTGATGTATATGCCAAAATTTAAAAAAAAAGAAACGCAAGCACATGTGTGTTAGTTAACGATGTGTTGGTGGTGGTGCACCTTATTGATTTTTATTGATGATTGCTTGAAATTTAATTGTGGTTTCTTTTTTCGGGTAATTATGATTCCACCTAATCTCTGTGTGTGAGTGTGTGTGTGTGTATGTTGTACATATGATGAAATTTACATCACTAACATATAATTGTTCGGAGCTTTTGAATCATTGCCGTTATCAATGTTATTGATTTATTAATGTTGATGGGATCTCTTACGGTTCTCCTTTTATATTTTGTCTTTTTATGTCGATCTTTTAGATGGATTCTACAAGTAGCACTAAAGTGAGCAAAAGTGAAACGTGCGATCTTGAAACAGCATTTTAAGCATACCAATCAGCTCATATATATTACATATAAATTTGTATATGTATTTACTATCGACTTGTTCTACACATCGTGTATAATTACAATTTTGTCCTCTGCTTCTGTCACTGTTGCTGTTGCCTTTGTGTTCGTTGTTCTTCTTGTGGCCTTGTTTTTATCCAGTGCAGTGTTTCCTGAGCTTCTGTCTTACCCATCTATTTAGATAAATCACCCTTGTGATGTTCAAATGTGATATAATAGTTACGCTAACTTTGATTTTTCAGCTATGTAGAAAACGTTGAACAGGCGAATGATCTATTAACAACTTATGTGATGATTATGTACACATTGTATTCATTAAATACTTAACTACCTATTCTCTTATCTTCTACAAATACACACATAGACAAGTGCATACATACACATACATACTACTGTTACACTACTGAATTTTGTTCAATCACTAGTATTTATTATTAGTTATTTATAGTTTGATTTTTAATTAACCTGTTATGTACACTAACTACTATTACTATTGTTGTCATTTATTTATTTATTTTATTTATTATTTTATTGATTTATTTATTTTTTCTCGGAGTACTCATTCATAGTCATTTTTTTACAGAAAATGTGCATATGAATTTTTTTTTTAAAAACTTATAATTTTTTTGTTTAGTTAAAATAATTCTGTTCAGTAATGTCACTTAAACACACACACACATGAATGCACACACGCACAAAAGGTGTATTGATTTTTAATTTCCGTTTCTTGATTGTTTTAACTTGCTTCTCCATCTCTCTGTCTCTCTCTCTCTAGCCTCTGTTGTCTTGTTTTTCTTTACGTGTACTGCTGCTTCCTTTAGTCGATGCACCGCATCTTGCAAAGAACACTGACGTATGTTTCTGTATATATATATATATATATATATATATATATATATATATATATATATATATATATATATATATATGAGTGAGTGTGGTGTAATGTCTGTGTGTGTGTGTATGTGTCATAGGAATTATTCTCTTTTCTTAAGCCAACCCCACTCTGCATATAAAAGTGGTGTTCAATATTTTATGCAACAAATTTTATTTATTTGCGCATAAAAGAGCTATTCATGATTGATGTCTTTCTTTCTTTCTTAGCTTATTACCACCTCTTGACTATTTCCAGCATATACTTGTACATGTGAAACAGAAATATATACAAATAAATGCACTCATTCAACCAGTTGAGTGAATGTATGCAAAAATAATGACGTAGAATATATCATATTATATAATACACTGCAGCTTAAACTTTGACTATAGAATGTTGTATTTTGTCATCATCATCACATTTGATCTTGCATAATCAATTTGTTTTTGTACTTTCATTCTCTATCTGATTTCTTTCATTTCATGATCAAAGTATTACACAATATCTATATCTATATATAGATATACATATATATGCATGTGTGTGTGTGTGTGTACAAATAACTTTGCAGTACAGTACAGTACAGTACAGTGTCTTTACTTGAACTCTTGGCTTTAGCCATTCAGCACTATGGTTGTGTGTGTGTGTGTGTTTGCTTTCGTTTCCTTCTGATGAGCTGATTCGATTTCTTCTCATGACACAGTCTGCTGCATTAAGATGTGTGTGTGTGTGTGCATGTGCGTATGTTTGTGTACATTCATTCAGTGAAAAGGAACTTTCTCATATTTATTATTCTTCCTTCTTTTTTTTGATTTCCCACACTTTCCCTTCTTTGGATAGCCTTTAACTTCCGACATTATAAATATTCTACATTTTATTGTGTACAATCATCATTCCTATAATAATAATAATAATAATAGTGAACCTTATGTGTACATAATATCTAATACCCACTCATATGTCATCATTACTATTTCTTATTTTGTTGAGTTACTCTTCTCGCTGTCTGTCTGTCTATCTATCTCTTGTATTCATTCCCCCCACCACCACCACCACCACCTCTTTTATATCCTTCTCATCTTGACTTCATTCTTTCATCATTACCGCCTTCCTCTGTTTGACTGTTTGTTTGCCTGTTCTTCTGCATTATATGTATGGCATGGGAAGAGAAAGAGAACTTAACAGTAGAATACACTCTGTATTTAAAACGCAGTTATACGTATGTATTTGTATCTATTAATGCGACTATTTGCTGACAAAATTTCTTCTCCATTTTTAATTTTTACTTATGCAATATACAATACAACAGTTTGTAATGTAAGCTTAAACTTGACGTCCATATATATATATATGATGTACAATTTATAAAAAAGACATAAGAAATAAAGAAATTAATTAACTTGTGAAGAAAAAAACCTACCGATTCAACTTTTTTTTCCTTCACGTTCCCAGTGGAACATAGGGCTTCAAGCTAGTGGCTTGAAGTTTTTGTACCAGTGGTGATTATTTTTACAGGATAGGGTTGCTAGCCTCATTCCCAACCTTTCCTCTTTACCAGCATTCTTTCTGGTTTAGCGAGGTAAAGGAGTGCGTCCAGTGGCCGGGGATTGAACCCCGGACCATGTGCATGGTCGGCGAGCGTCCTAATCACTATGCCACCAACGCACTCAATAAATTTTAATCAATGCTTATACTCCTTTTAAGGGATATACTTGGACGAAGAAGTATCAGTGACAAATGTAAAAGTAGCCTCCTCTGTTTATGCATATGTCTTAATTATTATAAGGCATGACGGTGAACCAAAATCCTCATCCTACTATCACTTCACCGTATGCGTTTCAATGTGGCGAAAATATTTATTCAGACATTTAGAAAAAAAACATAAAAATTTGAGCAAAGAATATCCTATTCGACAATTCCCTCTTCTGCCTCTACAATTGTATACATGTTTATATAAATAGAATATTCTAGAATAGTTGTCATTAACAGTATTGATGTTTTTAAATACTATCGACCTGTTAAGTAAGATCAATAGAGAATTACAGTTCACGAAAGACGCACTGCGGTTATGATAAGCATAAAAATGGAATATCAAATAAAATTAAGGAAATTTCCACACCAACAACAATAAATCCATGATATCATTTGACGTATCTTTCTTATTCATCAATGTGCCATTTTCGGAAACAGTAGACCTTGTATGCGAAGTACTCATAAGGCGAAATATCGATGTCGGCATTCCTATTGTCTTTTATAAAAGAGATTCTCTTGAAATACATTATGAATGTTCACTTTTTATTTAATAAGGAACTATACAGACAAATTGATGATGTGGCAATGGGGTCACTACTAGGACCCATTCCAGCCAACATTTTCCTTGCAAAACTAGATAATGGGCTTTTGAAAGATTTAACTGATGAACTAAAATTCTATCGGTGCATGGATGATAAATTTTTGATCATAAAAAATGAGGATGAAGCAAAGAACATCCTTGTTGAAAAATTTAACGATGCTCATACTGCAAAAAATTTTACCATCGAGAAAGAAAGAGACTCTAGTATTTCATTCGCAGACGTCTTTATGACTAGAAAAGAGGATGGTACAATAAGAAGTGTATATAGAAAGCCTACATCAACTGGTCAGTATACTCATTTTTTCAGCTTCCTGCCTTTGAAATACAAACGCAACCTAGTAAAGTACTTGGTCCAGAGAGCAAAAGCAATCTCCTCTGATGAATGTCCTAATAAAGAGCTTAATACTACTAAACAGTTGCTGAATGAAAACGGTTATCCAGAAAATTTCGTCGGTTAGAATATGAGTCAAAAATCAAGACAGGCCAAGGTACCAACAGTTCCGAATAAGGCCTTATTGTTACAAATTCAGTTCCTTGGGGATAACATCAGTGAGATATTGACACAACGCCTAAGGAATGCAGTAAAAAAGTATTCAGTGCTGCTGAATTATGCTGTGCCTTCACCACTACTCCTACTTTGCGTTAGGGAGTAAAAGATAAACTGTTTAATTTTGCCTCCCCTTATGTCTATCTACCAATTTGACTGCACCTGTGGAGCCAATTGCATAGGCCATACAATTAGGCATGTTTCTTGTCTGGTTTCCGAACATCACTTTGCGTGGTTGAGTAAAGGACAGACAAAATCTATTCGTAGCGCTATTCTATCTCATCTTTTGGATACAGAACACAAGATTGATGTTAACCAGATGGCTTGCAAAATCACCTACCGCATACCAACTGTTCTTAACATCACCTTAAGAGTTTGTCTACTGCACACTGCTGAGGCATTCGGATCCACATTAAGAAACCTAACTTATATACCTGAAAAGAAGCTGGTTCAGACACTGTCCTTACCTTGGCTATCAAGGTTTTAATGACCCTCAATTTGTTGTGGAAATTTCCTTAATTTTATTTGATATTCTATTTGTTATTACATTTTTATGCTTATTATAACCGCAGTGCGTCTTTCGTGAACTGTAATTCTCTATTGATCTTACTTAACAGGTCGATAGTATTTAAAGACACCAATATTGTTAATGACATATATATAAATGCAGAGATCGAAGAGGGAATTGTCGAATAGGATATTCTGTGCTCAATATTTTTGTTTTTCCTATATCTGTGTTCACTGTTTGTAGCGATGATTTCCACCATTTGAGTAGAGAAAGAAAGACGAAATAAAGTGTCTTCGTGAATTGAACTGTTAAACCTCATAAAAATTATAAGTTTTAATGAATAATTTGCCAAATATGAATTTTTAGTGATTGCTGTACCGATGTGCATAAAAACTAAAAGGAAGCTCGTTACGCTGTTTAAAAATCCGTAATATTGTATTTGCATTTATAGTGATATTTACGATAAATTATTTGTGGAAGGCTATTTTGAGGCTAAAACTTTCCAATGGTTTACAAACTTGGTGTTCTTTTCAACTGGGAACTGATAAAGTGCCTGGAATATTTACCGACATGAATATTATTTATATGTTTACGCCGTGTAGTAAATTTAGGTCATTTGATTGACAGTTGGTTTATAGAAAGATGTATAGAAATAAATCATAACGAAATAGTATCTGGATTTGTGGTGAGAGCT